TAATTAGAAAGTTGGAGAGATGGGAAGAAAATCAAGAGGAAGAGGAGAGAAGGAAAGAATAATAGATAACAAAAACACAAAACAGCAGATGAGGGTAGAGAAAGAATAAGGGCAAAGATGTTTGTGGAGCATAGCCTATATCAGGCACTGTGTTGATGCTTCATTGACATTTTAATTTAACCCTCATTGAACCCTGAAAAGTAGGCATGAATTAGTCAGGTTTAGAGACGGAAATTATCTTATAGGTAAACCTGAAAGTGGGAACCAGATATGCCTATCTCACCCCTTCCCATCTCTCTGCCTTTGGGACCTGCTGGCCTGTACAGCCATTCTGCTCTCCTCCTCCTGGCATATTCAAGGGAAAAGGCTCAGGCTCTGTGTGCCAAATCTGCTAGAGCTGGATCAGGAGGGATGTGTGATTCCCTGGCAGGTATTACAAAGCCAGCGTTCAAATACACCTAAAGGGTAAAGATGGTGTTTACTCTCCAGCTGCCTGTTTCCTCTCTCTTTCTCTCTCTCTCTCTCTCTCTCAGGTGATTCTGAAATTAGGCAGCAAAAAGAAGGATTATGTATTGCTCCCATGTGTCAGCTAACCGTTGCAACAACTCTTCACAAAGAGAACCACAAAATCTTAGTGGCATGCGGCAATGAGCATATATTTTGCGCCTGGATCCATTGATCAGATGGTGTAGCTCTGCTCTGTGTGTGTTCGTGCTGGAGTCCACACAAAATAGGCAGCAGCTACCCAAGGGAAGCTCCTCCGATAATAAGAACAGCAATGTAGAGATGTAAGAGGGCAAACCCTCTTTTTAAAGTGCATTTCGAGATTCTGTCTGCCTTACATCTACTCACATCCCATTAGGCCCAAGTAAAGAGCCTGAGAAAGACACTCTGCTTTAGAGAAAGGAAATGTCCAGTTACATGGATAAGGGGTGGGTACAGAGAGAGATGAAGAATAGGGTCAATAAATCAATCTGCCACATTCTACAATCCTCAACAATTGTAATCAAGAACAATAGAAAAACGCAGGCAAGTTAGTAGGCATTGACATGTCCTATTCTCCCCACTTCAGCTAGAGAGCCACATTTCCAGTTCTCTGCATGAACCATACTACTGCATACTTCCATAGCTTTGCACATGCTGTTCCCTATTTGAAATGCCTTTCCTTCCACTGTTCAGCCAAGTAAAATACTACTAGTACTGTTTGCATACACCCCCAATTTTAAGTTTTCCATGATTTCCTACCTTGGTATAATTTGTCATTATAAATCTACTTCCTTTACCTCATTTGTAGTTCCTCAAGGCCAAGGACTGTACTTTGTGAATCATGTTGTTTGTATCTAACACAGTGCCTTTCTTAAAGAAAAAAACTGTTTATTCAGAGTTTTTGATCCGATTAAATGTCCATTATATCCTGCTATTAATTTTGGCCCTGGGTATCATAGTTGGTTAGTTCTGAAACTACTGAATTTTGAAATTCAGCTTTTTTGTCAGGTGACAAATATTTCTTGAGTCCTCAAGATGCTCAGATGTGATGGGGTAAAAGGCATTAGAATACCACATGTACTTGAAAAAAGGAATGGATGAAATGCTGCATGAACTCAGAGGAGGGAACAGCCCACTGCCCAGTGGTCAGGGGAGGAATATGTCACCATTTAAAAATAAAATCGTGGGGGCTGTCCAGTGGCGTAGTGTTTGGGTTCACTCCGCTTTGGTGGCCTGGGGTTCTTCAGATCCTGGGCATGGAAAAACACACTGCTTGTCAGGCCATGTGGTGGCAGCATCCCACATGCCAAATAGAGGAAGATTGGCACAGATGTTAGCTCAGGGCTAATCTTCCTCACCAAATAAATAAATAAAAATAAAATCGTGCTTCTCCTCTCTCTTTTCCACTCCGTGCCACTACCACTGTTCACTCACAAATGTGTCACACAACTTTCCCACTTTCCTTCCAGACCTCTTCAGTGCCCAAGTAACTGAAATATATGCTGCATTCACTCAGATTCAGATACACAGAGGTCAAACTGTTCAAACAACTCCAAATCCTGGAAAGCAAGGGGCACCTGTGCCAGAGGACAGTGTGTGCCCTGGCTTTCCCTCACCTCTCAGGGCTCGAGTTGATCATTCATAACACCCAGAAAGAAGCTTCCAGTCCACAAGGCACTTTTACATACATTTTTTCCCCTTGATCCTCACAACCACCCTGTGAGGAAGTCTTACAGGACAAAGGATCACAAATGTACCAACATCTTTAATTGTGCCGCCATTTTGCTTAATAAACCCAACGGTGAGAACTTATCCTATAACTTCTCTACCGTGCCTTTATCTGTAAGATACTCATCTTTTATTTTTTTATTTATTTTTTTGACACTCATCTTTTAAACCTCTCCTCTGTGTAATATATATGCTAGCTAAAAAGAACTTGAATAGCTGTCATCTACTACTCTCTGGATGTTTAAAAGTTGTTTGATTGCTTTGGAAGTTAAAGCAGAGCCAGCAGTTACTATATTACTTTGAAACTTACTTTAAATCTGTTCATGTTTATCTGGTTGAGCCATATCATGATATATACAAAATGGACACTCTTTAAAAATGGCAACCTGAGAGGTAGCCCTGATTGCCTAGTGGTTAAAGTTTGGTGTGCTCTGCTTCAGCAGCCCAGGTTTGGTTTCTGGGCACAGAACCACACCACTCATCTGCCAATAGCATGCTGTGGTGGTGGCTCACATAGAAGAACTAGAAGGACTTACAACTAGAATATACAATTATGTACTGGGGCTTTGGGGAGGAAAAAAAAAGAGAGAGAAGAAGATTGGCAACAGATGTTAGCTCAAGGCAAAATTTGCCCAGCAAAAAAAGAAAATAATGGCAACTTAAACAACAAAATGTTGTATTAAAGAATTTATTTTTTTACAGCACTTCAATTTCCTCATCCCTCCTGATCCAAAGGGAACTACTGTAGCTATATACCAGGGAGATGTTATTCTCTTGGTTGTAGGTAGCTCACCTACTTTAATTTTCTGTGGATATTTTAAATCAAAATAACAGCTGGAAGTTCTCTGTCTCTTATCCTAAATTAGTTATAAGAACACCCAGAGTAGCATTTCAGATGTTACTGATGTAAGAGAATTTGGATTCCATCCAGAGGAACACTTAATATTGTGCAATTTCTTTAAACAAAGAGACCATCGTCAGCTCATTGTTTTTTGATGCTAAGTGATTTTTGCCCACTTTGAGTACTTCTTCATCTTCATTTCACAAGAACTGAGTTACTTTCTCATAATCACAGTAAGCAAAAGACTGAACTGAAATTCCTTCCAATCCCCCAGCTGTGGTGCCCTCCTGCTGTGCTCTTAATGGAGGAAAAGAAAGGAGGATAGGCCTTCCAAAACGTCAGGAAGATACACAGCAAGCTCTACTGTGATGAAAATGGATCTGAAAAATCTGCAGGGCTGCCCAAATTGTGACTTCTGGAGAAAGCACACACAACTTTGCACTCTCACAAATTAATACATCTTTTAGGATTTCTGAAACCTCAAAATTTATTATCCCCTTTCCCACTGAACTCAATAAATAGTAATGCATTTCAAAATGCTGGAGGTGTTGATATGATTTATTCAAATTCAAATCATTTGACAGAAAGAAATGACAGGAAAGAACAAGTTCCGCGTTAAAATAAGACTAGTTCAGTGTTCACTTGGCTTTCCTCTGGTTCTACAAAGCCACGTCAGGTTTAACGTCCCCATTGTTGGCTTCTCAAGATAGTATCATGAAGTTTTTCTCTTTTTCCTTTGTTGGCTTCTCAAGATAGTATCATGAAGTTTTTCTCTTTTTCCTTGGTATATTCAAATAGTCCATTTTTATTTTAATTATTTTGGCAGATGTTACTTGCTTTTCTGTGTGTAAGTGACTTAGTGCTTGAATGACGTGAGGATGTGTTGGCAAGTACAGAACAAGAACGGCTTTGCTTTGTCTGTTGTTATTGTGCCTCACTATTCCAGGGCACCAATAAGAAGTGAAGAGGTGACTGACATGGCTTGAAGAGAGAAAAACTTTAGTGCACATCTTATCCATCCATTCATTCATTCAACAAATAATTATCAAGCACCTCGCATCTGGCCTTCACTGTGCAATATGGAAGTGAAGGAGATAGCATGGTCTCTGCCCTCATGAAACTGAGAGTTTGTCTAAGAAGACATTTATTAAATATATATTCACAAGTGCACTGAGCTTTATGATTAAGTATAAAGTATTTGGGGTGTATGTCAAAATCTAATCAGGAAAACAAAAACCACCTGAGAGTTCAAAACAGAGGACTTTATTACTGGGGAATGGTTACATGGGTGATGAAAAACTGAGAAACCCAACAGAGGATAGTGAGGCCATTGAGAAGCAAGCAACAAAAGGAAACCATTATCTCCTCCATGTCAGTTGGAAGGGACAAAAGGCAGAGGCAGGGTTGGCCCAGGGCCAAGTGGTTAAGTTCCCACGCTCTGCTTCAGCAGCCCAAGGTTTCACTGGTTTGGATCCTGGGCATGGACATGGCATCACTCATCAGGCCATGCTGAGATGGCATCTCACACAGCACAACCAGAGGGACGTACAACTAGAATATACAACCATGTACTGAGGGGCTTTAGGGTGAAGAAGAAAAAAAAAGATTGGCAACAGTTGTTAGCTCAGACGCAAATCTTTAAAAAAAAAAACAATAGGCAGAGGCAGGATTATCAGAGTACAAGAGCAAGGGTCATCCGGCAGGAGCAGCAGCCACATTAGGAAACACAACTGCCACTAACCATGCCACTACTGGCAATGAGGTGGATAAAAGCTGTGGCTTCTGCTTTCACCCCACCCTTCAGTTTCTCTCTAGCAATCCTGTGGGCAGTCAAACAACTGGAAACAAGAGTTCATCCTTTTGTAAAATAGAGGAGACCAAGAAGGGGATTTGAGGACAAACTGGCCTAACAACTGCACAGGAAATCCAAGGTAGGAATTAGGAATATCTAACCTAAGGTTGGGAATATCAGCTTTGAACCCTCCACTCTCTCCCTACCCCTGCATCAGCCCGGCTATGTAGACACGCAGTCAGAAATGTTTGCTGGTGGTCTCAAGGAACTCCTCATTCTTTTTATTCAGACATAAATCTGAGTAAAGGAAAAAAATGAGGTGGAGGAAGCCCTAAAAATGGTATATGGAGCCAAATGGAGGGGGGATTTTTTTTTATAGCTGAGTGTTCAGTATAGACACAAAGGAGAACCGTAACCATTATTGAAGCACTATAAAGAAAAAACCCACAAGATTTGAGTTCAAGTTATATCTTTTGTGTTTATAAGCAGTGAGACCTTTGGCAATTTATTTAATCAACCTGACCTCGGCCTCCTCATCTACAAAATGAACTTAAAAGTACCACCTTGAGTTGGGCTACAAGGATTTCTATATAGCAGAGACGACGGGGTGGCAAGCTGGTTGGGCGTCAGGGAGTGAGGGCTTAAACTCGTGTTTGCACGGAAAACAGCAACTGCCCACTTGGGTACTGCCACCAGTTACAGTGAATGTACGTTAACCACTTGGATGCAAAGTAGATGCTCAATAAACACTTACTTTCATTATGTTTATAAGTCATTAAGTAAAACTTTGTGTGTAGTTTATTCATTTGGAATTCAGGTAAGTGTTAAAAGGAAAATTATTTGTTTGTCATCCCAATCTCGTGTTCATCTATTCACTGCCAATTTGAATAAAAGAAAATGCTATGTAGGAAAAAACCCTCTCTATTTCTTCTTTCTCAACAGTAATCACATTTGTGACTGTTTATTCAATGTTTGTCATCTCCTCCTCCTCCTGGACTGTAGTGGCGCCTGTCTTGTTTCCTACTGGATCCCCAGTGATGAAGACAGGGCCTCCTAGGGTACAAAAGTTCCTAAAATTATGTTGAAATACAGGTTCCACTTTAGTAATTGATTGCTTAACGGGTAATTCTGAAATAATGAAGATGTTTGATAGTTACAGGTCAAAATTGCTTCCCAACATGCTTTCATAGATGAAAGAATGAAATCTATCTTTCATAGATTGAAACCTATCTTTCATAGATGAAAACCTATCTTTCATAGATGAAAGATTGAACCTATTGTTTCCATATTGGAGCAAATGCTTTAGGGAAAGAGAATGCTCACTGATCAACTTTCAGCTGAATTCCTCAGGTGAGAGTCTAATTCTATTAAATAAGAGCTTACCATAAAATTCAAAAAGTTGTTATTCCAGTAAGCAAATCTTTGTTCTTGATTGAGTTTCTTCTGTGTGAATCAAAAAGACTAACGTTATGGGTAATATTAAATAAGACAGATTACATCTCTACATCAAATACCAAAATAATTTGATACATAATTTTGAGGCAAAATTTTTAAAATTATGCCATCTTTTCCAAATCTTTATTGCAATAGCTCCCTGTTACAAAAAATCTCCTTTTATAACTTTAATACTAGACTGAGAACTTTTTCTCCTTTAATCCCCTGACATTGTATATATAAATGACTCATCAGAAAGCCTGGTCTCATAATTTCTCCAGCTCCATATTTCCAAAACCTTTTATCTCTACTTCTTATCAATCACACTCTGATAGTTCTGAATTGCTCTGCTTTGAAGATTAAATTTCAAGGCTCCATCTCTAATTTTTTCTTCCTGCTGTTTCCTCCCATATTTGTTGCCCTCACTCTTTGTTATCATATGACCTCTGCTTTCCTTTCTTCTGTATTCTTTTAGTCCATTAAGGTCCCTCTTGGCTTCTCTTACTTCTCTATTTAGCCTAAGTCTACACTCACACATTCCAGTTCTGCCCTTCTTTCTAGCACTTCTGAGTCCTTAGACTCTTTAACCTTCCCCCGACTTATAAAATCATAAACCTTGATAACTGCCACAGTCACAATCTTCCCTTCTCTTCCTCAGAACACCTAATGTTACTGTATGTCAAAGATAGTGCTGACTAGATCATATGAATTCTTGCAATTTTCACCTCAATTCCAGGAATCTTTTAATTCATTTCTTGTGGACTCACAATCAATTCCCCAAAGAGACCTTAAAACGTGTTTTTCTCTCCCCCATGTTCTCCCCATCCCACCATGACCTTGTTCAGTCCCAGGGGAACTTTTTCTCATTTAACTTCTATGGTCTTCAAGCAATAAATTGAGGCTACTAATCACTTTATGAGGAAGACATGTCTACATGCACTCTTCTCAATACTGCCTTCTGCAGGGGGAATCAGAATTCAGGGTAGTGAGTAAAGGGAAGAGAAGAGCACAAGCTGATTTGTCTGAAAAACTCTTTTGTGTAGCAGGCACTGTGGATGCCTTGTCCATAACCGTAATTTCCAAGCACATCAGCATGGCTTCTGACACCAAATTTTTGCATCTTTGTCAGAGCTGCTAGAACTCTTTTTGTTAGAAATCACAGCAGGCCAGAGGTACCAGGAAACTAACATCCCCTAGGACACTGACCAATGACTCACAGGTGTGGGAATATATATACTCCATTCCCTGGATGGGAAAAGTCTTGTACATGTGTTTTGCACTGTTTTCCACAGCTTCCCCAGGGACCAGGCTCCAGTTCCCACCGTGGTAGCATGCCTAATGACACTTCTGTCATGTCTCTATATCACCTCACCTGTGTTCCTAGCAACTTCCAACAAATCGCTTGCACGTGAACCCTTGGGTTAAGTAAGGTCTGTTTCTAGGGGAGGCAAAAAAAGAAGCTGAGAAATTCTAACGTGTAATTCCTTCACACACACTTTTGGGAATCAATGCTTTAGCAAGAAGATCAAAGCCAGCCCTCATAACTTATTTTCTCTTTCCCATTTTTCATCTCACGACACATTGCCACACCTTTCCTTTCATCAAAAAATATACAGTGACCTCCCCAATTAACTTTTCTATCCTTGTTTACTTGGGGAAAAATGTCTTTTCTCTTTGTCAAGCCTTGTTCTTTTCTTCTCTAGTTTCAAGACTAAAACGCACAGACTATTAAAAAAGATTGCCTTTATTTAAAAAAAGTCTCTCCACCCTTGTACTTCTCATCCATGATTTTATAGCTACCCTACCCTTCATCCAAACATTTAAAGGAGGAGTGTCTAGCCTTTGCCTGCACTTCATCTTGACCGTTTGAGTTTTTATTTGCACTCTGTTCCCACCTTAGTTAAAGCTGCTCTCTCAAAATTAACCAGGTTCAGCACTCCTACTTCCGGAATGGCAGCATGAGGAGCCCCATGGACCCATTCCTTAGCCAAATAAGCTTAATTGGTAAAAGTTACTTTTAAAAATTACAACTATTTAATGTACATGGAAATTGGCATAAGAGCATACAGTAAATAAAGAAGTATTTTTTCAAGAAAATCTACTAAAACTCAATCAGGACAGTGAGAATCTGGGGCATTTGAATCACACCCTTCTCCCTCCTTCTATTCCTCCAGCTCAGCACAAAAGAAACTTCACTCCAGGCAGGTACAGCCAAGAACACAGGGTTCCCTCTCCTCTTAACAGCTATGCAAGGGACAGGCTGCTGGCAGTTATTAAATACCCAGCCACATTTTGCAGAGGCTAAGTTCCAGCTTCTGGCATGAGTAGTCAAAGGCTCCCTTGTTTCACCTAGCCCCTACCCATAGGCCAGAGGTTCTGCCACAAGTGTGGTAGGCTGAGAAGACTGGGGCCTGGATTCTCACACGCCAGCTCATTGTAGGGTGAAGGTTCCATTATGAGGGAGGCAAGCCAAGAGGACCAGAGACTACTACATACATCTAGCACTCCCAGCTACTGTTCAGAGACCTTTTCTCGGGGAGAAGTAGGCCTTTAGAACACAGAGTTTGGAAGCTCTCTCAAATGGACTAACCCTATTTGAAACAGAGTGTGGGAAAGGTCAAACCTAAGGGTGCTCTTAAAAACAAGGGAGGTGTTTATTGGGAGGGAGGGTGACAACAACACGTTGGCCAGCAAGCTTGCCAGAGAGAAACAGGGAAAGAAATTCCTACGAAAATCAATCCTGAGGTCAGAGCAATCCTCATACACTGGCTTCAGAAACTACCCCTAAACTGAGGCCCAGGGGCTGGCCCGGTGGCGCAGCGGTTAAGTGCGCACGTTCCGCTTCTCGGCGGCCCAGGGTTCTCTGGTTCGGATCCTGGGTGCGGACACGGCACCGCGTGGCACGCCATGCTGTGGTAGGCATCTTACATATAAAACAGAGGAAGCTGGGCACGATATTAGCTCAGGGCCAGGCTTCCTCAGCAAAAAGAGGAGGACTGGCAGTAGTTAGCTCAGGGCTAATCTTCCTCAAAAAAAAAAAATAAAAAAATAAAATGAGGCCCAAATTTAATTGTGTCGAACTGCAGAGCAATTTATGCCCAAGGGCATTGTAAAAATAGATCAGCCAGCAATTACAGGAGTCTAACATTTGGCTGTGATCAGGAAAAGAGACAGTCAAAGAGAGCCCTGCTAAAATTATTATTCTAGGTGACTGTTTTCACGCACAAGGATGTGCCCTCTCAGGAGCAACATCAGAGGCTTCAAACTAAAATAGTACCACCAGCAGCTAAACAAATAAATGGCCAACAACAATAAGAAGCAACAGGGGTTGGCTCCGTGACCGAGTGGTTAAGTTCATGTTTTCCCCTTTGGTCGCTTGGGGTTTGCCACTTCCCAGCCTGGGCATGGACCTACACAACATTCATCAAGCCATGCTGTGGTGGTATCACCTATAGAAGAACTAGAATGACCTACAGCTAGGATATACAACTATGTACTGGGGATTTGGTGGGGGCGGGGGGGGAGGAGGAAGATTGGCAACAGATGTTAGTTTACAGCTAATCTTCCTCACCAAAAAAATAAAGAAATAAGAAGCAACAAATGGGTGGGAGAAAATCATATCCAGAGTTGCTATATTATCTAAAATGAAAAGTTTAAGAAAAATACGAGATATGCAAAGAAATAGGAAAGTGTGATCCATACACAGTTAAAAAAAAAAGCAGTCAATAGAAACTTTCCTTGAGGGGGCCCACATGTTGACCATAGCATACGAAGACTGCAAAGTAGCCATCAAAAATGTTTTCAAATAATTAAAGGAAGTCATGCTTAATGAATGAAAGAAAGCTATAATAACGTCTCATCAAAGATAGACTATCAAAAAGGAGTAAGTAATTATAAATAAGAAACAAATGAGAATTCTAAAATTGAAAGTAGAGTAATCAAAAAAGAAAAAAAACTACTACAGGGCTCAACCATAGATTTGAACTGGCAGAAGGAAGAATCAGTAAATATAAAGAAAGGTCAATAGAGATTATACATCCAAAAAACAGAGAGGATAAAAAGAATGAAGAAAAAATGAACAGAGCCTCAGAGAAACATGTGACATCCTTAAGCTCACCAACATACTTGTAATGGGATTAGCAGCAGGAAAGGAGGGAGACAGAAGCTAACAAACAAACAAAACCACAAACCTTTTTCAAAGACATAATGACTGAAAATTTCCCATATTTGGTGAAAAGCATTATTCTACACATCCAAAAGGCTCAGCAAACTCCAAGTAGGTAAAACACAAAGAGAGCTACACCCAGAAACATCTTAGTCAAATGTTCAGACACTTCAATCTAAAGATATTTTGTCTAAAAAGAAAATTTTGAAAACAGCACAATGAAGTTCAAATAAAGGCAATGTCAGATAAACAAAAACAAAGAATTCATTGTAAGCAAACCCAACTAACACGAAACACTAAGAGAACTTCTTCAAGCTGAAAGCAAGTGACATCAGACAGTAATTAGAAACCATATGAAAAACAAGAGAAGAAAAAGAACACTGGTAAAGATAATTATGTAATGATAAAACGTTTAAATGTGCATTATTTATTCCGTCTTCTCTTAACTGATTTAAAAAGCAATTGTATAAAACAATATTGTTAGGTCTATAACATATAGAAATGTAACATATTTGCCAATAATAGCACAGAGATTGGTAAGAGCAAAGCTGTACTGGAGTAAGGATATCACACCAGATGGTAACTCAAATCTACAGGATAAATTAAGGGAACCATATAAGATAGATAAAAAAGTTAATATAACAAGCGCTCTTAATACACATTTGCTCTCTTTTCTTTTCTCTGCGTCTTTAAAAGATATACAATTATATAAATTAATACTTATACGGGGTCGGCCCTGTGGCCGAGTGGTTAAGTTCACACGCTCCACTTCAGTGGCCCAGGGTTTCACTGGTTCGGATCCTGGGTGTGGACATGGCACCGTTCATCAGGCCATGCTGAGGTGGTATCCCACACGCCACAACTAGAAGGACCCACAACTAAAATATACAACTATGTTCTGGGGTGGATTTGGAGAGAAAAAGCAAACAAAAAAAAGAGATTGGCAACAGTTGTTAGCTCAGGTGCCAATCTTTAAAAAAAATACTTATAACAATGTATTATTGGGATTGTAACATTTATAGATGTAATATAACAATAATGGCACCAAAACATAGAAAAAAGAACTATATAGGAGTAACATTTCTATATGTTACTGGAGTTAAGTTAGTATATATATGAAGTAGACCCTGATATGTTAAGATGCATGTGGTAAACCCTCAAGCAACCACTAAGAAAATAACCCCCAAATAATGAAAAAATTGTAAAAGGAAATAAAATGTAACACTAGAAAATACCCATTAATGCAAAACTAAGTAGTGAAGAAAAAATAAAGGAAGAAAAAGACCTGAGACATAGAAAACATAAAGAAAAATGGCAGAGTTAAATCAGTGATATCAATAACATTCGATTGCTGGGAAGATGGTGGCATAGGAAGACTCTGAACTCACCTCCTCCCATCAAGGGATGAATGGATAAAGAAGATGTAGTATATGTACACAATCGAATAATACTCAGCTATAAAAAAACATATGAAATCTTTCCATTTGCAACAACATGAATGGACCTTGATGGTATTAAGCTAAGTGAAATAAGTCAGATGGAGAAAGTCAAATACCATATGATCTCATTCATAAGTGGAAGATAAAAACGACAACAAAAACAAACAAATACTTAGATACAGAGATTAGATTGGTGATTACCAGAGGGGACGAGGGGAGAGAGCAGGGTGAAAGGGGTAACTGGGCCCATGCATATGGTGATGGATCGTAATTAGTCTTTGGTTGGTGAACATGATGTAGTCTACACAGAAATCGAAATATAATGATTTACACCTAAAATTTATATAATGTTATAAGGCAATATTACTTCAGTTAAAAAAAGAAATGAATGAACAAAACCTAGTTAAATAACCTCTCATCAACCAGAAGGCCAGAGTGCTATTGATTATATACATTACAGAATTCTTCTCTGATGCCTATAAGCATCAGAAATTTCTAGGTCAATTTCCATTAAAAATCTCCTTTCTCCTCAAAAAAATAATAACATTAAATGTTAGTAAATTAAACATACGAATACAAAGGCAGAGGTTGTCACATTGGATAAAAAAACAAGAACCAAGTACATGCTGTCTAGAGTAGACAAACGTTAGATTTGTAGATACAAGCAAGTTGAAAATAAAAGATGGAACAGGTATATCATGTAAACAATAACAATAAGAAAGCTGGAAATTCTATATGAATATAAGACAAAATGGACTTTTAAGAAATGTTAAAGTGATAAAGAAGAACTTTTTAAAAATGATAACAGTCATCCTAAAGACAATATAACATTCATAACCATGTATTCACCCAAAATTAGAGCCACAAAATACATGAAGAAAAAGTTAACAAAATCGAAGGGAGAAATAGACTTGGAGAAATAGAAAGTCAACAGTAATAGTTGAAGATGTCATTATTCCACTTTCTTCCCCCCCACCCCCAGCTTCATGGAAGTATAATTGACAAAAATTGTATATACTTAAGGTATACAATGTGATGCTTTCATACACCTATATATTATGAAATGATTACCATAATCAAGCTTATTAACATATCCATCACTTCACAGTTACCTTTTGTGTGTGTGTGTTGAGAAAACTTAAGATCTACTCTCTTAGCAAATTTCAAGCATACAATACAGTATCAACGATAGTGACCATGCTGTATATTAGATCTCCAGAACTTATTCATCCTTTTTGTTGTTAATGCCCTCCAATCAATTCTGACTCCTAGAAACTCTGTGTACAGCAGAGTAGAACCCTGCCTGGTCTTTCTTTGCCATCCTCTAATCTTCTAGCACTATATGTCACCTTGCTGCTATCCATAGGGTTCTCATGGTGTGTTTTTTGGAAGTGGGTGGCCAGGTCCTTCTTCCTAGTCTGTCTCAGTCTGGAAGCTCTGCTGAAATGTTTCCACCATGTGTGACCCTTCTGGTGTTTGAAATACCAGTGACATGTCTTTCAGCATCACAGCAAGATGCACATACAGCTGCCACATTTTACAACCAGCAGATGAGTGATGTGGTTCCCTGACCAGAAATGAACCTGGCCCGAGTGGTGAGAGCATTGAATCTTAGCCACTGGACCACCAGGGCTGGCTATTCATCTTACATAACTGAAATTTTGTACCTTTTGACCAACATCTCCCCATTTTCCCCACCCCCCCAGCTCCTGCTAACCACCTTTCTAGCTCTGTTTCTATGAATTTGGATTTTTAGATTCCAAAGTATTTATCTTTCTCTGTCTTACTTATTTCACTTAGCATAATGCCCTCAATATTCATCCATGTTGCTGCAAACTGCAGGATTTCCTTCTTTTGCATGGCTAAAGAATATTCCACTGTATATGTGTATGTGTGCGTGTGTGTATACCACATCTTCTTTATTTATTCATTCCTGATGGACACTTAGATTGTTTCAATGTCTTGGCTACTGGGAATAATGCCACAATAAACAAGGGAGTGCAGATGTCTCTTAAATATCCTCTTTTCATTTCCTTTGGATATATATCCAGAAGTGGGATTACTGGATCATACGCTAGTTCTGTTTTGAATATTTTGAGGAATTTTCATATTTTCCACAGTGGCTGCACAAATTTACATCCCCACCACCAGTGCACAAGGGTTCCTCTTTCTTCATATTCTTGCCAACGCTTGTCCCTTACCTTTTTGATGATAGGAAACAATCAACAAAATGAAAAGGCAACCTACTGAATGGGAGAAAATATTTGCAAACCACATATCTGATGAGTTAATGTTGCCTTTGCTTTTGATGTCAAATCCAAAGAAAATCACTGCCAAGACTGATGCTTACCCTCTATGTTTTCTTCTGGGAGTTTGTGGCTTCAGGTCTCATGTTCAGGTTTTACTCCATTTTAAGTTGATTTTTCTGTATGGTGTAAGATAGGGGTCCAGTTTCATTCTTTGTGTGTGGCTATCCAATCTGTATGGTGTAAGATAGGGGTCCAGTTTCATTCTTTGTGTGTGGCTATCCAATTTTTCCACTCCTATTTATCAAAGAGGCAATCTTTTCTCCATTGTATATTCTTGGCTCCTTTTTCAAAAATTATTTGACCAAATATGTATGGGTTTATTTCTGGGCTCTCTATTCTGTTCCATTGTTAGTTTCTGTGATATACAACATTTTAAGATAATAAGTAGAATTATGACAGATAACATTATACCAGGACATATCAGATTTCTAGGAATTTCATACAATTTCTGGAATACTTATAACATATATCCATACAAATACAACATAAAGAAGGCTTAGTATTACTTCTTATTTGACAATGCTGCCAGGTAATTTAACATATCAAATCAGCCTAATTAGTTTAACAACTTTCTTTTATAAAGAGAGAGAACAAATCTTTTGAGATATTCTGGGGACCCTCTGGAAAATCCCAAAGTTAGTTTGAGGTCAAAAATACTTCATTTAGAACTTGATTTTTGGAAGTTTGTCAAAAATACCAAAAGGTTTTAAAACACTTGGTCAACTAAGGATCACAGGTCACTGTGAAACAACACTTAGTTATCCATTTAACCAAAGTGACTATTAAAGACTCCAGGCAAATACAGGAAGTTACATGGTTGTAAAAAAAACCCCAAAAAACCCCAGAAAAAAACCTTAGCTCTCTTAATAGAGAAGACACAGTTTTCTTCCTTCCTTCCTCCCTCCCTCCCTCCCCCTCTCTCTCTCTCTTTCTTTCTGTCTCTCTTTCTTCCTTCCTTCCTCTCTTTCTTTCTTTTCTCTCTCTCTTTCTTTCTTCACAGAGTAAAGATTTTATTCTGGGATATTGTAAGAGATGATACAGTAGTGGGTTTTTTACAAAAGCTTTTTAAGATTATGGTCTCTTTCCAAATGTTTGTCTTTTTTAAAAAATTATTTTATTGAGGTCATATTGGCTTATAACAGTATAAATTTCAGGTGTACATTATTATATTTCAGTTTATATGTAGACTGCATTGTATTCATCACCAATAGTACAGTTTTTACCCATCACCATACGTATGTTGCCCTTTACCCCTTTTACTCTCCCATCACCCCCTTCCCCTCTGACTTATTTCACTTAGCATAATACCCTCAAGGTCCATCCTCATTGTTGCTAATGGCATGATTTTGTCTTCTTTATGGCTGAGTAGTATTCCATTGTGTGTGTGTGTGTGTGTATATACATATATATATATATATATATATATATATATATATATATATATACCACATCTTCATCCATTCATCCACTGATGGGCACTGGTTTGCTTCCATGAGAAGACTCAGCGTTCTTAAGTAATCAAAGATCTGACAAAGACAACATATTTCTCGTTGTTCCTGCAGCCTTCTCTAGTTACCTATTATTGGCCAAGACATTTGTTTATGCTCCTAAATCCTCTCTCTCTTTTATTTATTTAGCCATATTCTAGATTCTCCTAAAGACATAGACTCATGGAAAATAAAACCAAAGAGATTCACGGGACATTTCAGGTTTCTTCCCACCCATATCACTCCCGTAAGGCAATCAGCACTGAGATATGTGTTTGAATGGAAGGGAGATATTTTTTAAAAGATACGTATGTTAACAATTTGAGAGCCAGCCCTAATGGCCTAGTGGTTAAGTTCAGCATACTCCACTTTGGCCATCCATGTTCTGTTCCTGGTCACGGAACCACACAACTCATCTGCCAGTAGCCATGCTGTGGTGGTGGCTCACATAGAAGGACTTACAACTAGAATATAGAACTATGCACTGGGGCTTTGGGGAGGAAAAAAAACAACTTGAAAATATCCCTTCAGATAAAACAGAATGTCATGCATTAAGTATAAACCATAAGGTAAAAAAAGGTCACAAATCAAATATACGAATGTAAATGGTTTGAACCCCCCTAAAAGGTAGAGACTCTAAGACTGGGTTAGGCAAAATGATGCATATAAGGGGCATACCTAAAAAAACAACAGAATGTTGACTAATCATTAAACATCAGTTTAAAAATATTTACCAATGTGGAGAAATGCTTATATATTTTATTTTGCTAAGTATTACATAGATTTTATTATGTGTATACATATGTACATGCATGCAGATACATAACTAGATATAGATACTGCTATAGATAGAATCTATCAATCTTTATTTTATTTTTTTCCTGAGGAAGATTCACCCTAAGCTAACATCTGTTGCAAGTCTTCCTCTATTTTGTTTGTGGGCCACTGTCACAGCATGGGCACCAACCAGTGGTGTAGGTCCAGGCCCAGGAACCAAACCTTGGCTGCTGAAGCAAATCAAACTGAACTTAACCACTGGCCGCTGGGGCTGATCCCTCTTTATTTTTTAAAATATGCTCAAATATTATCGGGGATTATGAAAGTTTTTTTTTTTTTTAACTTTTCCATGTGTGCACAGGAACATTATATTACTAACCAGAAAAAAAGTTATTCTTTTATAATGTCAACAGGGAATTACACTATCTTTTAAAAATAGCTAGGAGGATACCAGGGAATATCTTTTACTATTCAGGAAGTGATGAAGTGTCAGAAAGAGAGAGAGAGGGAGAGGGGAAGGAAATGGAAGAGAGAGAGGGAAGGAGGGAGGGAGGGAGAGAGGAGAGCTGAAAATCACAAAGTAACAGAAGTTGTAGTGTTGCTGACGCAATGAATACACGAACACCGGTTGCTGTGCAGTAGTCTTCTGCTCTCGAGTTTCTCGAGCTCTTTATTATTATAGCCTCTAAACAAAGCCGGCCTTTTGCCAAAGCAGCGAGTCAGCGACCTAAACCTGCGCAAGCGTCCCACAATAATGACCTTTCCCCTACACATCTGTTCATAACAGGTTCCTTCATAATGTTTCAAACTCTCAAGGTCCCAGGCTTGCTCCTTTTGAGGAGCTCATAAAACATTCTTGTTTGCAAGCAATGTTTTCCCTGGGGCCTTGTGAGTTCACCAGGCAGAACATTCTGTTTGCAGAAAAGTCCAGCCAGTCTTGTGGATGCCTCCTGTGCAAGAACAATCACATTTCATGCCAGGTCTCCTTCATTGTAGCCACTTAATCCTTTAGTATTTGATAAAAATATCTACTTTTACTTCTCAATTAGGTTTTCCTGGACATTCAACTCCTTAGAAAGGGATGAATGGTGACCTATCCAGTTATAAAGTTGGGTCAAAACACTTCTTAAGGGGAATTGTCAAAGTGCAAAAAAAAAAAGTCATTAAGCATGATATAGAAAAGAAAATTTTATGTGCCTCAAGATTGAAAGCTACTTTGAGCCCGAAGCTGGGTATCTGAGGGTTACTGTAAATATTCAATAAGACTTTTTGACTTTGTTCCCAACACAGACATGGATGAAAAAAGCTACTCTTGTCCATCTCCTGTTTTCTTGTTTAACTTGAGTGGTGACTCAAGAATTACAAGGATTTAAGAGCTTATTTTACAGCAGAGAATGCCGTCAAGGAAGTTACAATCACAGATAACCAGCCCCAAGCTGCTATTGATGCCCAGAAGTCAGATTGCCCAGTTGCATATCTGGAGTGAAATAGAGATTCCCCTTTGTTTCCAGAAACTCCTGCCAAGCCTTAGCTCTATAATACCTCCTGCTTTCTTCTCTTGTTAAGGCAGGTTTGAGAGAACCTATCCTCTCACATTCTTGTTTTGGCTAATTCAAATAAACTTTTCTCTATCTCCAACCCATGATGCCTCAGGGACTGACTGTGCACTGGGCCCATAAATTTCAGATTAATATTAAGAGTTTCAGTATGAAGCCAATCTCTCAGGAAGAGTAGATACTGAAAAGTCTTGACTGCAGAACCTGACATGGGGTAAAAGGAAAAAGAGCAGTTTAACAATGAGGCAGGTGAAGGAGGGGGAGAATAACTGGATATGAATTTTATGAAAACTTAAATGACTAAAGAAATGGCCATCCAATATTTATAGATTGAGCCAGCAGTTAAAGGATGACTAGGTACTGACATATTAATCTTATGGTGCATCAACTTTTAGTTTGTGGTTTGGCAAAATGGTTATTGTAGTAAAAGGTATTTTTACTAAGTTGTACGTGCATATATATTGAAATGTTATACATACAGGTGAGCAATCAGAATATTACTGGAAAAGAAAAAAATGAGAAAGACTAGATCCTGAGATAGAAAACTTCTCCTCTTTCTACAGGTTATGGTAAGCAAGTACCTTTGCAGGTCAGGGCTTTCCCACCAGCCTGTGTTTGGCCTTGTGAGGCTGTTTGCAGGGAGGAGGATGGCAAGATGAGGGAACCCATAGGTGGGTATGCTTGGTTGTCTGCCTTCATGGTGGATGGTGGATTCTGGTGCCAGGAAGCTGAGGAATTGGGGTCTGGGAAGCTTCAGCTTCTTGATATTCTCTGGATGTCAGTTTCCCTGTAATAAAACTTCAAAGCACCCATAACTAGCTAAAATGTTAGCATGAGGCCACCTGGGCTCCAACAATTTGTAACTTCTATTTGCCTTGTGAAGTTCAGGGATACAAAAGTTTAAAAAACCAGTATTTATCTATGAATGTAATTTGGAGAGGCAGGGGAAGGGGATGAGAGCTTTTAGTTTTAACCCATATGCTGGGTTTAATGTAAGGGAACTGATATTAAGGCTAGTATCATCCCCCCTCTGCCCCTCTCTCCCCCAATAAGAGGGGACTACTATAGGTATCACACAGCATTTTAAGCTTGCTGGGCTTTATAAACACAACATTACATGTAGAACATATGTTCAATATTTGGTTAAAAAAATAACAAAAATACCTCTCCCACTCAATGCAGAAAAGATGTTTAAGAGAGGACAGCATTCCTACCTTTCTCTCCCCTCCCCTTGCAAAATATCCCCATGATACGGGCTCGACACAAGGTAGACATAAGGGAAGCCATATTGTAGAAAAGAAACCATATGGTAACTTTGAATAAGCTGTGCTCTGTAGATTTTATGGACCCTCCCAGCTGCTATAAGTTGATAAACTTTGCTCTTTTGAGTTCCTTAGGAATGTGATGACCCCCAGGCAGAGAGTATGTGCTTATAGCCATCATCAATGATAACTGAAAGATCAGGGGATAGGGCATTGTTCCAGTCTCTGAGGCATATCCAGGAAAACAAAAGACTATCAGGAACTGAGACCAGATGTCTTCTCCCACCTGGAGATCATCAGATGGAGGCCTCACTGGGATTAGGTCTCTTTTCCAGGGACTGTTAAAATTTAGGTTGTCTATACTTATCCTTCTGGTTGGACACTTCATTATAAAATATGCCTTTAGATTTGGTCCCAAAACTGTAAAGCAAAGTACAAAATTCTAATAATACAAACTGTCAACATGAAGCCAGGAACAAAAGAATATTTCCAAATGATTGCTAAACGGTTTCATACCTCTAACCCAGATCTATGCCCCAATTCAACACAAAGTAACTAGATGGCTTGTGGCCCTGAATACCTCAAGGATGAGGAATACCAAAGGATAGGGGAATTGAAACCAGCAGTTAGACATTGATGATTAAGTAGCTAGAAACTAAAGGTGTTTTTCCTTTTTGCAATTACTGATTATAACTTTTAGCTGTTTAACCCACCCATCTTTATACTGTTTAGGCAATAGGCTATCTGACTCCCACTAGGTTCCTATAGATAACATCTCCCTGGAGCCTGGTTCACCATGGTAATGGGTGCATGAGTAGTTTTCCAGGAATTAGAACCCCTGTCCACTCCAGGGTGGTTGAGACCACCAACTCATCAACTGGGCCTGCACAGATGTCCCACAGGCGGCCTTTTGACATCAAGCAGCTAAAAACTGCACCCAAAGATCACGCTAATGCCACCATTTTGTGAGCACGTGTCCTGTGAAGAGGCACGGGGTCTGACATCAATTACCTCATGTCCAATCACCTACCTCCACATTTTGGAGCACCTTACCCCTCTACCCCATAAATGCTCCTGAGTTCCCATTTTGGGGGAAGTAGATTTGAGACTCACGCTTTCACCTCCTCACACCGCTACATTGTGATCAAAACCGTCTCTCTGCTGCTATCCCGTCATCTCAAGTGTTTAGCTTTCAGGGAGGCGGGCAAAAACGAACCAAATGCAGTAACACCTAAACTGGCTTGCTTCTTTTCTACTCTTCCCACATTTACATGGGAGCCGGAAAACAACCAGGTCTGGCAGCTGCCCTGCCCCAGCCCTAACCCTGCATCGCAGAGCGAACCCAACAAGCAGGCCTACCAGGAGCCCGCCATTCCGGCTCGTTCACGACACGACGGAGGACGCACTACGCTGGGCGCGCGACCCGGCAGAGAATGGAACGCTTTACGACGGGGGTGGGGCTTATGGGGTCAGGGGTGGCCGCACGGGAACGGGATGGGGGCGCCGGGCAGAGAAAGGGGGTGCGGGGCAGCATAAAGGAGACGAGGAGAGGAAGGAGGGCACAGGGCAGCGGAGGGCGGGAGCGGCGGGGCGTACGGAAGCAGAAAAAGGGCGGAGGGGCAGGGGAAGTCGCCACCGCTGCGGCCTCCAGTACTGTGTGGCCGTAGGGGCTACATTCTAAGTGTCATCTAGGAGAGAACTCGAGCATGTCGTTATGTAGTGGACATTAGCGTGTCTGCACACAAATTCCATCCCGCCGGGAAGCCGCCGGGGAGCAGTGCCGCGCTCTCCTTACAGCCGCCGCGCAGGCGCACTACCCTCTGCTGGGTGAGGGACGCAGTGGGGCGCGGACCTGGCGAGGTGAAGGCGGGCGGGGGCGAGGATGAGGGGCGGGGCGAGCCGGGCTTTCTTGGAATTTCGCCGGAGGAGTTTCCGCCTGGAACGTTTTCGAAAGAGTTGGTAGGCGCAATTTAACTGCCGAATCCTTCCCAGGGCCTGTGCCAAGTAGGTAGTGTTCCGTGGGGCCTCTGTAATTGTCCTTCTCGGTACTCTTGTGTTAAATGATTCTGCTTGAAACTGAAACGTACGTCGTTTGTTTCATGCAGCCAACTTTTCAATAAAAAAATGACCCAGTCATTTTTGTTGCGGGTTCTTCTAGAATACTTTTGAGCCTCCGTAATCCTTTTAATGCTACACACACATGCAAGGATCACAAATGTAGGGGATTAAAACCACAGATTCAGTTAAATATCCAAAAGACTGACGAGAACTTTGAGAGAATCTACATCAACCGCACCTCCCCCGCCCCCTTCCCCTCGCTTCCACGCTTCAGCGCCTGCTGTTAGCAGCTATTGCTAGGGGCTGGAGGTATAGAGATGCACGGGGCACGGGCAGGAGTAACAGAGGACTCCTTCTGTGAAGGCCTAGCGCCCTCTTGGAAGAAATAAGCGGGGAAGGAAAGATATAATTGTGAAATTACTCTGGGAGGGACTTGCATATTACTGAAACAGCCAATCCTTTCTCGACGTTTGTCTGGTTCTTGCCTGAAAACTGAGTGGATTACTTTGGGCTGACGCAAAAGCAGTGATGAGCGTTCCAGTAAGAGAAACCAGCTCGAACAACGGAATGGAGTCGAAACAGGGTGAGTGGTGGGATTGATAAACAAGGTAGCTGGAGAATTGGTTTGTGGGGAAGATTCTTAAGCCTTATATAGCACAGCTTGCCAGTTGCTGTTAGGGAACATTCCCTTCAGGTGTTTTAAACTTTTCTGTACAGCTAGGATAGAGCAAATTGTTATTGGCAAATACTGTTTGTCAAGCACGTTCTAGGCACTGCAGGTACCCTCTTGCTGCTAAATCCAGTGGGAAGATTTGGTTAAAGAATTAGAGAAAGGGTGGGGCTGGCCCCGTGGCCGAGTGGTTAAGTTCGCGCGCTCCGCTGCAGGCGGCCCAGTGTTTCGTTGGTTCGAATCCTGGGCGCGGACATGGCACTGCTCATCAGACCATGCTGAGGCAGCGTCTCACATGCCACAACTAGAAGGACCCACAACGAAGAATATACAACTATGTACCGGGGGGATTTGGGGAGAAAAAGGAAAAAATAAAATCTTTAAAAAAAAAAAAAAAAAAAAAAAAGAATTAGAGAAAGGGTGAGTGAGGGGTAATAAAGGATGTAAATGTGAGAGCAGACAGTAAGAGTGATGTAGTCTAGAGTATTCGAGGAGATGACGGGGAGTTACTCTGAGGAAGAGAAGAGCCTAACAAGTAGAGGGTTCATATCTACAGAGGCTTGGAATGAAAAGAAAACCTTAAGGATTTGAGGAGCTGAAAGAGGTTCATTTTTGGCTGTGTGAGGGAGAGGGGTGTGCGTTGTGTGCAATGAAACTTGGAAGGTAGGTTATGTAGTGACAGCCTAAAACCAAATCAAAACTTGAGACACAGGTCATGCATTGACCGTCTAAAATGGAATATTTCTGATTTCTCATTGTTTATTACCTGCCTTAGGCTAATTGTTTTCTTATTAAGTATGCATTTGTGTTGTTTTATGAATTTAGGAATTCCAGGGTATGGTAAATGGGTTACAGCCTTTAAGAGAACAGCTAGCTTATTTCCTGTGCAGGGAGGGGAACTATTTGATCAGCTTTGCAGGACTTTAAGGAAAATGGAGAGAGTGACACCTTTGACCTCAGATGTCCCAGGGGCTCTGCTCTCTTTCCTGTTTCCAGTGGCTTGGTTGTGAGCTCCTTCAGCTCCATTGAATCTGCTTGTGGCAGGACAGCAAAGTATCCTGCATAACAAGTTTTAAACATACGTTTTGTCCTGAATGAAAGTTTATAAAAGTGTAAATACGTTAGAACTTTTTCATTGCCTTATGGTTCTGGAACAAATTAAAAATGCTGGTTGCTTATCTATGTGCTTACACGGAACGTGAATTTCAAGCTTGCTTTCTTTGCTTGTATTTGTAGATACTAGAGTAGTTAAGTGGTGGCTAACACATCGTCATCTCCTCAGCGCTGAACTCTTGTCTAAGTTAGCCTCTGAATTTAGAATTGGGATGAAAGTATACATAATAGGCTAATATCAAATTTCTAGAATTAGATTCCTAAACTTGGGGTTAGCAAAGCTAGCAGACTTAAGAAGTGCCTTTGAGTTTTTCTCGTACTATTCTGTAGCAAAACAAAGGAATATGAGGAGAGGAGAGGAGAGGAAAGAAGGGAGAGTTAGTAGTGGAAGGGGGACAGGAGTGGGGGCAAAGAGAAAAAATGGAATTAATAGAGAAAAGGATACATGAAGTATTAATTGTAAGGTTTTGTGAAAGCTGACATGAGTGGAGCCATATTAAAATAGAGGTGGAACAGCCATTTCAGAGGAATTGCCATGCATGTCTTGTTTTCTTTATCTTCCAAACTGGACCAAACTGCCAGTGTTCCAAGAAGTCAGTAAGAATGAGAATATACTGTTTGTAAGGACTGATGAAATTGGACTTTGATGGTGACGAAATTGCTAACCAATCAGTGAAGTACAAACCTAGCCTTACCTCATCTAGCACCAATGAACTCTTCTTTAATACAACTCACCTCCTCTTCCTCCCTTTTTGCCATAAAAATTGTGAGTCTGTCTCCTGTTGGGGGACACTTTGGGTTTCTACCTAAATCTCTGTACCCTGAATTGCAATTCTTTGATCCCAAATAAACACTTAGTGCCTTTCTATTCAGCTCTTTATTTTTAGGTTAACAGTTTCCTTGGAAGAAATCAGCATATCAAAGATGTCTAATGGGGTCAAAATATCTCTGTTAAATAAGTATTTAAATTTGTAATGATTTAAGGATAAGGAGATGTACATTTGATGGCATCCACACTAACTGCCCTTGAGTTGTTGGATATTTGAGGGAAGGCTAATATATAAACAGAGCATACGACTCCTTACAGTGACCAGAAGATATGTTGTTTATTGATTCTCTTATCCCACAATAATAATTAAAAATGCTAATAATGTTATAAGCCTTACTCCTTATTTTCTAGTTTAACTCTTTCTTCTTTTTCGTAAACGAGTATTGTTGAAAACATAGACAAATTTAGATTTTAAAAATAGACGTCTAAGGGGCTGGCCCAGTGGCAGCAGTTAAGTTTGCACGTTCCTCCTTGGTGACCCAGGGTTCGCCGGTTCGGATCAATCTTTCTCAGCAAAAGGAGGAGGATTGGTGGCGGATATTAACTCAGGGCTAATCTTCCTCAAAAAAAAAAAAAAAGGCATCTAAGTCCTTATCAAGTTTCTTTGGCACATTCCTTTTATACCAAAGTCATGGCCAGTGTGGAGAAGATCAGGACCTCTGCCCCATTTGAATTTTCCTTTGAGTTGTCTCTTCTATATGTGACTTAATCCCCAGGGGCAAAACATGCATAGAGCATACCCCAGGCAAAAGCAAGCCTGGACCTAACTGTGTTTGGCTCTGACTCTAGGTGGGCCTTCCAGCTTTGTGAACTGACCTTGACAGCATATTTTCCCAAGATTAGAAGCAGGCCTAAGGAACCCTGAGCCCGACTCTATTTGACCTTCTTCAAATGGGACGCTTCCTGAGATGAAGGCAGCCTTAGGTTCCTTTTACCACACAAGCCCCATGAGAGAGAAGGAGAATCCAGGAGAGAGAAAAAAGAACTAAGAATTAAGAAAAAGATTTAAGAAAAAGAAAAAAATTCTTAAAAAGAATTAAGAAAATCCAAAATGGCAGAAAGAGTTTCTCTTTGTTGCCTCCTACAGAAAGCCATAGTACTTTGACTGAATTGCTTGTTGTCTGGCCGCACACCCAGGTGAGTGAGCAGTGCCAGATAGGGTGTGGAGAGATCAAAGAAAAGATCTGGAGATGGTGAACGAGGCATATAGGTTGATTGGGAGTTACTTATAGGGAGATCCAGTAGCGGCTGGCTGGACAGCAATGTGCACCCGCTACCGTGGGCTGGAAGGGGGTTTCTTATAGAGGCAGGGGACACGAAGGCTATATGCTTGCCAAGAGGCTGTCCTTGGTATGACCAGCATTCCCAGGAACGTTAGCTCACGTGGAAGGGCTGTGTCCCTTCAAGATGTGATGTTCTTGAAGTGAGATAAGGTAGGATCTGGCCTGGCCAGGCCCTGGGTTGTTAGAAATCCCAGCAGCTGGGCATCCTGCCCAGAAGGGAAACAGAAGGACACATGGTTGTAGTGGGCTTGCGGGCTTTTGCTGAACAAGCAAGGCCCAGGCCCTATACTTGTCTTTGGCTCAGAACCAATATCTTTCTGTGAAAAAGGGGAGTGGGGAATGTAGGGCAAAATAAGTCAAGTCTTGGGTTCCCTGTTGAAGTTTGCCACTAACACTTCTTAAGTATTATCCTCAGTACCCAGTGGGTAAGTTGCCTCTCATTCTGAGAAGGTTAGAGAATGTAACAGGCTAGCCCTAACCCAACAGCCTTGTGAGGGAAATCTGGTCATATAAAGTTTGAAGAGTACTCCTAACCAAGCCCTTGTAAAATATGTTTTACCAACTACAGAGATTATAGACAGTTAGATTGATGTCTTATCTATCACTTAACCTCATTTCTTAAAATGTTAATATTTTTATTAATGATCCACTAGAGATTGTGTCATATGCAAACCTGTTTTGTAAACATGAAAGAAAAATTGGAACTCTTGCCCTCTCTTTCTGAAGAGAAGCAGAGATTCCTCAGCTGGGACTGATGGAGGAGTGGCGGTCCTGTAAACAAAGTGACCAGAGACCAGTGACGAGGAGAACCTGCTTCTCTGGCTGACTGTGATACCCTTGACACTTGTAGCTCTTCATGCTGGACTTGGGTTTTCTAGAAACCCAACAATGAAATAAGTTTTTTCTATTTTGCAGATAAAGATCTTATATTTAGTTTAGGAAATGATGGTTAGGTACGGTAGTCTCTATATAGTAATAACCACAATGTGTCCTTTAGTTCTACAAATATTAAATGTTAAACTCTGTATGCTAAAGGCTGTGAATAAGATGCAATCCCTGCCCATAAGAATTTTTTAATTTACTGGAGGCAGGAACATCATCTCTAGTTCTCTGTTATGTGGTTTCTGGTTGTACCTCAATTTTTAAGAACTATCATTAATAAGGACTCTTGCTTAGTTGCCAGAACTACCAGAGACTTGAGACACCTATGTGGCCACTGAGGCAGTATTTGTGTTCCTGACTCAGTGTCTTCTATGTGAGGAGATAGACTACTTAAGAAACTAGTTTTGAAATTGGCAATTTAGAAGATTAGGAGAGATTACTGGTAAAGCAGAGACATCCCCCCAAATTTGGATTGATAGCCATTAGTTAAAGAAAAGTTTATTAAGAAGTACGTACATATAGTGAAAAATACATAAGAAGAGTTTAAAGAGCAATAACAAAAATAAATACCTGCGTATCTATCACCTAGATTAAGAAATAGAACACGCCCATATTCTGACACCTGACTTTTTGAGCAACTATTAGGTGACTCAGCTAATAGCTTTCTTCATTCTTCACATCTGTGTTTTATTTTCATTTTGGCCAACTGTAATTTCAAATCAGTAGACAAAAATAATCTTTTATAGAATTAATAAATGAACAGTAGTGTTGCACAGTTTCCTAACTAGCTGATAAATATTTTGATT